CTCCGCACTCCCCCCATCATTCACTATGGTAAGATTTTTTGTTCTGATGATGCCTTACACCTGATCCCTTCGACACTGTCCAAGGTGTTTGAATCAGTGTTTCTCAGATGGAGCAAGAACGTAAGTCAGTCGCACCCCAAGTGCTACCTAGCTCTGCGGGACCTTTTTCATGGCAGTACTTCTTAAAGAAGGAAAGCGATTCTTTGGCTTTCTGGCTTACTTGTGTCACATCATGAAACAGTTCAGGAGTGGACTACTTGGAGGCCCACTGGTTTAGATCCTTTTAATGGTTTGAGCCAGAAGACTTGCTATGTCAGCTGTGCTCCAGACACTGGTTTGTAAGGGCACCAAAGAAGGAAAGAATACAATTGAGAGCAGGAACAAGGGGAAAATAAATGCAAACTGGGTGACATAGTAAGAGAGAATGCAGGGGTGCCCTGGGAATGCAGGGATGAGCCTTATGCATCTTAGTAGAAGGTAAAGACAACGGGGGTAGTAGATGAGCAACAGTGGAATCGAATTTTTGTTCAGTTGAACATTTATTATTAAGCAGCTATTAACTAGCATAAAAAGCCGTTCCTTATAGCTTTTAGGGCAACTTTCAATCGTGATGAGCTCATTAAGATCAAGGTGTACAGCCTGTGTTGTTCAAACATCCATTTCATACTCTGGTATGTGGTCTCATGGATATAAATAGTGAAGCGTGGTTTTGGACGTTGATATTTTTCCTTGTACAGTACTCAATGGATGGCAAGTTGTTATTTCATGTGCCCAGAATATTTCCCCTGTACTACTCAGTCCTTGGTCCTAGTGATGTCACACTGCTGTAGAGGCCGCCTGTACGGCCCCTTCACCCCTTTCCCTAGACTTCCAAACAGCTTGATCAAGTATGAGTTAGTGTTCCACCATATACTTTGGAGAGACATAATTCAATCCACAACAATTTCTTCATTCTGCCCTGATTTGACGTACCAATTTTTGATTTTAACTTTTAAAGTCGAGTTTTCTTTTTACATTTCCAAATGCTGCTACAATTCTTCTCTTTATCAAAATAAAACAATACTCCACTAAAAACGTGAATGTTTCGAGATCTCATTGGTTCTTTATTTCCCACGCAGGACTCCCGGCGATGTAGTGGGTTACGTTTTGGGCTGCTAGCCACAAGTCATCAGTCCGAATCCACTGGCGCCTCTCAGAGGAAGATGAGGCTTCCTGTTCTGGTAAAACCTCACAGCTTTGGAAACCCACAGGGGCAGTTTTATTTTGTCCTATGGGATTGCTAACAGCCAGAATAAACTTAATGGCCATTTTTTGTTTTGTTCTAGAGATTTAGAATATTAACATCCCAAAATGTAATAATTTATTACCAGCTACTTTACTCTCTCCCCCTCCACCTCATATTAGATCTTTAAATTCCAGGGTGTGGTTCACACTTAAGAGTTAGGGTGATCCTGGAACACCCTCTATTTGGTTCCATTTGTGTAGCAACCTTATGACCCAGCACTGGCCTGGCTTTCGATGCTAGAATCTTTACTGTTGGCAACCGTAACTCAAACCCATGCCATAGAGTTGGCTAGGTGACCTTATAAGATGGAGCAGAACACCTTAAGGTTCCCAACAACCTTTTCGGAAGCAGACTGCCTCATCTTTCTTCTTTAGAATGCTGCATTTCCACAGAAAGAGCCCAGTGGTGCTGACCAGGAAGCATTGGAATGCAAACTCAAGGTCAATGGTTCAAACCCTTGAGCCACTCTGCGCCTGGAAGAAAATTGAAGCCACCTGCGCTCAGATTTATAGCCTGGGAAGACTACATAGAGCCACTGTGAGTTGGAATCGACTTCATGACAGAAGGTTTTACAATTGTAATCCGAAATTCTTCATTTGCAGTTAAAATTTCTAAAGTGCAAGTAAAAAGTAGTCACCCAGGTTCTTCTAAACATTCTCAAAACTTTTCCTCTAACCGAACCAGGTGTCTATCGAGTTTTAAGTTGAACTCCGCTTGAATAAAATGTGTATTCATCAGGCACGATGACCTCATTTCAAGTTGCTCAGTGGGCACCAGTGGCTTTGGTGCTGTTCAGTGCAGCCCTAAAACCAACTAACATGTCTTTCTAGCCTAGAGTTTGCTCACCTGGCAACCTGTTTGCTAAACTGAATTGTTTGCCCTTCCTATGCAGACCTTTTACTTACATGCTCATTGACATTGTTCATAGTGTTTATTTTGCTCGAAAGATAATCGATT